TTGTATCTTGTTCTACTAAGACACCGACATCACGTTTCTGGTAGTAATATTCGAAGATTGAACAAAAATACCAAGGAAATTTCTTTATTATGTGTGAAGAAGCTTGAACGGCAACAGCTTCAGGATATGACCTCTATTGAGAGTTCAGATATTATTCCTTCACCTCCTTTTTTTTCTCTGGCTGTGAATTAATTTTGTATCAGACAATCAAACTTCTTCTCTAGTCGCACAATGTCCTCCAAAATGGCATGGAACTCCTCATAATTTTTCACACGGTGGATGATCCCAGTGCTGATACTAGAAAGCAATCCACTTGAAGGAGCAATTTTTAACATACTGTCATGTCGTTCCACTATAATTTCCATTTTTCTTTGGTCATGTCCCCCATTTTCCGTTTCCATTTTCCTGCTGTCCAGTCGCCCCTTTGCTAATATCAATTTCCTGCTGTTCTGTTTCCTGCTGTTCTGTTTTAGTTTTGCTGTTTCACTTTTTCTGTTGTTCCATTCTGACTTTGACGTTGACATTTTCATTATCAGATCACTTATCTTAGTTCTCCTTCTAGATCTTTTTCCATGTTGTGGGCTCTGGCACAGGAACACCTCCATTAGGATGTGAAAGGAAACCATTTTGCTTTATCTGCTTCCATTTTCTCATTGCTTCACTCTCCTTTACCGAACTAGCATCACAAACCTCCTTTGATGAATATGCAAATTGTAGTTGTCTCGAATCTCTTAAGGAATAGGAAGAAGTTGTCCCTGATGAATTCGAATTTCCTAGAACATCAATCACAACAGGGTGAAGAAAACATGTCTCAGTATTTCCTAAAGAGCGCTCCAATGATGCGATACAGTCAATGTTACCAGTAGCATTATGTTTGAGAAACCCACTGTAACAACGAGTAGAACCTTGTAAAAGTCTATCTGAATGCCCAAATATTGCACTTGCATCCTCACTTTTGTAAGTGGACTCTTTGTGATGTAGCAATGACATGGATTCTTGTGGAATTTTTTGTCACCAAGATCCAAATCCTGGGGAAAGAAGCTGCCATTAGAACCAAATGAAGTTAAGGAGAACAAATAAATAGACGAAAGAAGTAGCGTGGATACTTTGTTTAGCAGAAAATATGTAAAATAACATTATACGGAGAATATGCAAAAATAATACAGTTTGAACCGCATAATGACATATGATTCATCTGCATATCACTATGTAACAAGCACATGCAAAATAAGGCCAAATATCTGGCAAAAAATCTGGCAGAGAAGGCAGCATGACATAAATGTTTATGTTAAGAGTATCAGGTAAAGAGGGGTCTTAAATTGAACCTGATACCAAAACCGTTTAGGTTACTGATGTGAAACAATGTATATGCATGTGCAAGATCAGCGACAACAATGCTTCATCAAATATGCGATCGGTCTAAGCAGGAAATTCAAGAATAAAATGAAGCGAACGATGGGTTTTGAGCAAAATTTGCAATGTACTAAGTTTGAACCTTTGTAAAATTATTTCGATAAATAATGTAATAATTCGTTCTCTTAATATAGTTCAATTTGTAATATTTAGATAAGCAAAAATACTTGGCAACAGATTCGCTCACTCACTAATCAAACTGAATACAGCATAATCGCAATTGATACGAAAATTGATAATAACACGCACGCAATAGTAATTCCGAAAATACTTGGGCGTAAGAAAATTAAACCTTCGTCAGATAGAACTGGTTCGACGGGAGGGTCCTCTGGAGGTGGTTCGACGACGCCAAATATGAGGGGTGGAAGCTCTCCACCGAGGGCGACGTAATTAGGATGGAGTGGCGTATCTAGATGGAAGCGTCGATGCCACAAGCTAATTCCCAAGCGACTCTCTACGCTGTCGACGATCTGATGAGTCACACGCTCGACGTACTCGGGCACGCTCTCGAATGATTGATAATCAAACCACGGGGAAAGATGTAGATCAACCACGCCGGTATCTGGATCAATCACGAGTGCGTCGTCTTCAGTGTCGGGATCGGCCATGCACCAACGGCCAACAGAATCGGACTATAACTATGCTCCGGCAGATCTGACAATACGAGTGGGTCTAAACTGAAATAATTCTGAACCAATTTAGATCTGGTTCAGGTCTGAACCAAAATAAACCAATCAAATAAATAGGGTCTGAACTAATGGGTTCACAGATCTCAGTACTCCTCTTCCTTTGTTCTGAGGAAAAGAAAAAGATGCGGCAGAGGGAGAGGAACAGGCGGGCGACGGAGAGGGTGAAGGCGGCGGGCTGAGGCGAACTAGCGGTCGCGGAGCTCGAGGCGTCGGCTGGAGGCGGAAAGAAGAGTAGGGAGGGGAGGTCTGTCTTTGGGTCGGTGGTTGTGGGGGAGGAGGCGAGTGGTGTTGGGGTTCTAGGCGCTGTTGGATTGGGGCGCAGGTTATTGGAGGATGGGTTTCAGGAGCTTGGGCGGCGGCTGGAGGAAGAGGAATCGGAGATGGGGATTGGTGGCCGGTGGAGGTGGGATCTGGGGTTGTTGTGGGCGGCGGTTGTGGAGGGAAATGGGGTGCGGGGTGGGGATGTGGAGATGGGAATGGCTGTTGTGGTTGTGGCCTTGTGGGGAAGACAACGAAGAGAGAGAGAGAGGCGATGGGTGTTGCGGTTGCTGGAGGAAGAAGATGAACATGGATTTTTTTTTTAATAGAAACTAGGGTTTCACACCCAAACTCAAGGTTTCACACCACAGAATTCAACGAAAATTTTCATTAATTCTTCAATGTCGATTCTGATTACATCCATCCTTTTTAAAAGAAAGATTACAAATTTAGAAATCTCCCAGAATCTCTCTCAATTATTCGGCAATTAAAACTAAAAAAACTACCAAATCTAAACCATAATTTGAAATTCAAAAATCAAATTCAAAATTCAAAAATGCAACAGAATAGGGACCTGATTAATCAATCTCAGCTACT